GGATTGGCATTTGCCTTGTACGGCTTTGCTGCTGCAGTGCCTTTCGTGTCACGCTCTATGGAAGTCGAGAGCTGCGTATTTCTACCGTAGTAGCCAAAGGCTCCTTAGTAGTTCCTTTTTGGGGTTGGTATTCGGTTGGTATTTAGGATCCTACAAGGTAATCCCAAAATGGAACTCCTAAGGAGCCTATGGGTAGCTTAACATACATGCTTCTACAGTATCATGCGTTTGCGGTTCCAGCACTGATCGTACTGTACATGCTTCTCAAGACTTACAGGCTGTACAGAAATTTGACTAGCCACGCATCAATCTAGCGTCGTGGATAAGAGCAAGGGCCCACATAGGTCAATGCAACAGTGACAGCATTCGTAATGACACTCACGCTGTTCATGATGGCGGTATGAATACTCATACCCGGAATAGACCCCCCTAGTAGTGCGTATGAAATGGCATGCATCATCCGTGAGGACGAAATGAACCCTAACCGGATTTAAGGTTCATATACCATACATACAGCGATTCATACTACAAGGGTATAGGGCCCCTACCTTATAGGGTCATGTGGTCCTTAAACCCTACACCCTATAAGCCCTCAAGTAAGGCTTGTGTTCAACCCTAGACCCTAAACCGTGCGGCCGAGGTCTCGGGCTGATGGCAAAGTGCCTCGCAACCTCTGACGCGCCTTCGACGGCTGGCGCAATTCTCGAGTGGAAAACTGCGGGGCCCGTTTTCGATACACCCGACGGTTCTGAAAATTAGCGTCCGTCTTTGGCATGTTTTGGAGGATGCTTCTATGGCGGTTCTTTATGAAGGTCATATGGAAGGCAAGCGTCAATGGAGTCTTTAATTCATCCAGTTAATCTGGGTTAACGCCGGTAGCAGCACGAGTACGAACCGTATATCTATCGTGGACGGTGTCACTGTCAGAGTGGCGCATTGCTCCCTGTACCCCTGAGGTAGGGTGCTCAATACTCTAGGGCTCGTTTCTTGAGAGTAAAAAGGGTGGTTGCTGCTTTGCCAAAGCGCGCTGCCTTCATCCTCCACAAAACTGCACTACACCTTGAAACCCGAAACTTTGAAACCCTCCAATTCCAACGTTCGTGGAGGCGGCGCAGTCCGCAACCAGGCCCGTCCGCGCGATCGCGTTTTTTGGGATCCGGATTCATAGGTTTAGTAGGGGCTATTATATTATTATATAAAATAATATCACAAAATATAATATAATATTATATTATACTATATTATATTATAAAGGTTAGGCTTAGGACTGTACGGTTTTTGGTCCAGTCCGGAGCTTCGGTGTCATTCTTGCCCCAAGGAGGCTTTGCGATATGTCCACGAAACTGTTGCTTGAAAGTAGGTGGTGACCAGGCCCCCCCCCCTTCAAAGTCGGGTGACCGACTTACTGGTACTACATGGTTTAGGGTCTATAGGGTTTCTAGCTGTTTTTTGTATGTCAGTTTCTTCGTTCGAATACCTGCAATTTCAATTGGTTTCGCAGTTGGTGAGCATATAATCTAAGCTATAAGAACGAACGAATGACCAGGCATGTAAAGCCACACCAGCTCCGGTGGAACAGATGGCAAAACATCACCCGGAAAGACATGGCTTGAGTGTAAAGTGAAGTCGGCACACGCATCTTTGCAACCACTTGCCTCCTTCGTGGAGGCATCAAAGGAGTGGACATTGATTGCTTGGTTCCCAACTGCCGGCGGCAACTTGTGCACATCCGTGTGGTTCCTTTCGTGCTACATGCAGGGTGTGCCAGAAAAGAAAGAAGGAACAAACACAAGAGTTCGCATCGTGTGTGAGTTGGCTTTGGCTCCGAGCCCTCGATGGGTCGTTTTGGGTCTTTGAGGTTCAGGCCCTGCCAGGTTTCAGAGAAAAATGGACAAAGATGCTTACGTGCAAGAGCCCCTCGTGCTGCCACCAGAGATCAGGCCAGGTACTCCTTGAATGAGGGCGATTGTTGCGCCTCAGCTGCTACTGCAGCGCAGAAAACAGGATATGACAGTGTCTGTTGTGAAGGGTGCGTCAACGTCAAGACAGGTACGTCGGGCAGGTCGGCTTCAGCCTTTTCCCCGCCTCGGCTTCTCACTGGTTGTCTCCTGGTGTTGATGGCTCACCCCCTTTCTGCTGCGCTTGGTGGTTGAGGCTTGGCTCTCGTTGGTGCCTGGCTTGTGGGTGGGTCTTGCCTTACTGGGTGGTTTCTCCTTCTGCTGCCGGGGGCGCTACGTGCTTTGATTGCCTGACTGTCGAGGTGCAATGTGGTGGCTGTGTGGACGCCTGTTGTCTAAACTCTAGACGTTTGCTGCGGCCACACTGCTCCTGATGCTGAGGATTCTGGGGGATGCGTGCGTCGGCATGGTTGAAGGTGTGAGAATTGCCAGGCCGCAGTCCCGCTGTCTTGCATCCGGGTCAGGGGGACGGCGCACGGGGCGGCTGACAAGCACCTCAGCTCATCACAGCTCGAGGTCATTGCGCTGGTCACGGTCAAAGCCTTCGAGCCTGACTCTGCCTGTTGGGAGGGGTTCGTTCTTCGCTTCATCTTCCCTTGGGTGTGCCAGACCGGGAACGTGGATGTATCATATAGTATGCATGCATGTATATATATATATATATATGTGTGTGTAGGTGCGTGCGTGCGTTCGTGTATGTGCGTGCGCTTTTATGTCGTGCAGGCACACGTGTCTACAGTCTACATATGTTATATATTTGTGCATCCCAAAGGTTATTATTAATCTAATTGAGCGGTTTTATTCATTATTTAATTGATTGTCTAATTGTGATTTGTTTTTGATATCTACTTGTAACCGTCAAAGATTATGGCTTGGAGAGCTCATGGCATGTTTCTGGATGGAGGGTTGCTCGAGGCCCTGGGATCGCGTCTGCGCCGCGAACTGGACAAGGGACTACACGGAGGCGCTTTGTTGTTTGATGTCCATGGCCTTTGGCGTCGCAGGTTTAGGGTTTAGGGTTTAGGGTTTAGAGCTGAAAGGATGGCACGGGTGTTTTGGCATTTTTGCCCCGCGGTTTCCGCAAGCAGTTACTATGTGCTGGGGCTTCTTTTTTCATCTCATCTCAACGAAATGCGTGCTAAGCATATTCTGTTTCGCCCTTGCATGAGTACGAGTATCATCATCGTTACTTTATGTTCTGCATATGTTGTCGGATGTTTGTGGTTGCTGTGTACGCGTTGTCAGAGGGTCTCACGTCCAGGAATTGCCAACGCTTCAAAAAGCATAGCTCTAGGCATTTGCAGGGGCGTGGCAAGAGGATTGAACGAAAGCTTTCACGTACCTGCAAGAGTCAGATGCGAACCGAATCAGGGGCGAAGGAGTGTAGGCAACCTGCAGCAGCCACGGGGGTCCTTTGCCAGGAGATGAACTACAGGTTCGAGTTGAGTGCGGGGACAAAGTTTCCCAAAACAGCCGCATGAATTCGCTGGCTTCAATGTATGATAGATTTTTATCCGCAGACGAACAGGCAATACAGGCATGAAGCCGAAGGTGGCGAAACAGAGGATATCCAGCCAAAGCAAGCTGTGCCGGGAGCGTCCAGGTTCAATCTGGTCCATTGCAAGGCGATGCTCCCAAGGTCCTTGATAGTATAGTATAGTGTAGTATAGTCTAATATAATTTTAGTATAATCTAATATAGTATAATGCAATATAATGTAAGATCTACAGCAACGTGCACCGTGTCCAGCACGGCAGAGTTGAAGCGCACCGCCTTGCAAGCCCTGACATCGTGGTGCCACGGCTGGTGGTGCCTTCGCAAAATGCGAAGAGCCTCCCGGGAAGAATCACTCACCCGATCGCTTTATGGAGAAGAGAAAAGCAGTCATGCTGATGCCAGTAGATGCTTCAATCAAATCGACGTTTTCGTGTTTGTAGTGTGGACAGGCAGAGTTCTGGCGCTGGTATGGTATCAAGCAGTGGTAGTACCTGCGGACCTTCAAAACAGGCTCAGGCCCCGCCCGCACCCGTTCCCTGGTACGGCCCCGAAATCCTAGCTGGCCTGGCCAGGCTTCGCCACAATGCAGCCTTGGACGGAAAACTTCGGCAACAACATTGTGAAGATCCGGCGCCGAAAACACACTCCTTCAGTCGTGCATGTATTCTCGCCTTACTTGTGTGAGGAAACATATAAAGACGTGCAGCCCTGAGAGTTGTAAGTGGGTGCCTTGGGGTGGGTAAGCCTGCAGGCCGACGCGCCCACAAAAGTGCGTTTTCATTCGGCACACCAAAAACCCAAAACCAGAAACCCTAAACCCCTGAGCCCAGAAACCCGAAACCCAGAAACCCTTAACCCAGACAACCTGGACGCCGAAATCCTAAACCCAAAAACCCAAACACGGAACCGCCAAAACATCCACAACACTCAACCCAGAGACCCAAGCCCAGAACCCCAGAGACCTCAACGCCTTCAAACCGAAAAACATCCAGAAAACTTGAGTTCAGACACTCCAAACCCAAAAACCCTTTACCCAGAAGCGCTGAACACAGAAACCCCAAACCCAGAAACACTGAGCTCAGCAACGTTTGTTGAAATAGCGCATGTGTTTAATCATCCGTTGCATGTATGACTGCTGCTACAGTGCTCTAGTAGGAAAAAGTGCGTTTGCACATGCCATGGTATAGTCCTGCTACCACTTGAACGGGTATATTGTGTGGTCAGTGCATGCGAAGTGATTCTCCTATTCTATAGGTTAGCAGCCGTTTAGCCTACGGCCTGGTGTATTTGGTACAAGCAGACTGGAACAGTCAGTGCATGAGTTCCATAGAGCTTGGCGATGCCTAGCCTACCCAGACAGTACCGAAGTGAACGCATCGAACATCAAACGCCATTTGGCACAACTTTGGCTCCAATCTTCCAATTTTCGTGAGAGTTGGAACTGCTTCGAGAGGGACCGCCCAATAACCTAGCGGCCTGTTTGGCTCGAGGTCCTCGGGCACTCCTGTATTTTCGCTTCGTTCGCAACACCCCAGAGCCACAGTCATGGCGGAGGCTGAGGCTGTGTACCGCTACGAGTCCGGAAACATCGCGCATGCTCCCAAGAAGGATTACGGTCCTTTAGACTTCACTGGAAAGCTGGCTGGGGGCCTGCGACTCGACATCCGCAGGCGAGCACCACTGTACTGCAGTGACTGGACGGATGCCTTCAAACCGGAGAACTTCCAGAAATCGGTATCGTCCATCTTGTATCTGTTCTTTCGTCTTGCAGTATGCAGACTTTTGAGCGTCTGAATTCTTATAAATTTTTTCTCCAATAATTTTTCTCCAAATTTTTAACGTGCTGTTATTTTGGAAGTGAAACGTTTCTCCTCATCGGCCACTCGTGTCAATAAGGTTCATCGCAGCCCTTGCCCCTGCCATTACGTTCGGCAGTCGGTTCCTTGACGGCACGAACGGCCAGTTCGGAGTGATGGAAATGATCATGAGCACATGTATCAGCGGCTTGATCTTCTCGACTTTTTCTGGACAGCCCCGGGTGTGCGA